CAGCAGCAGCAGCAACATCGAGAAAGAAAAAGATAAGGCAGAGACAACTAAGCAAATCATGAAGCAAACAAACCCCTAAACGCTAAACCCTAAACCCCAAACCCTAAACCCTAAACCCTAAACCCCAAACCCTAAACCCTAAACCCTAAACCGAGCATCCCTCACTGCCGCGCGTCAGCACAGTATAACACCCAAAGAGCCACCCCTGCAAACCCTAAACCCTAAACCCTAAACCCTAAACCCTAGACCCTAAACCCTAGACCCTAAACCCTAGACCCTNACCCTAAACCCTAAACCCTAAACCCTCGTGCACCTATGAATACGGCCTCGCCCCAAGTCGCAAAAGGATATTTGCTGAGGAGGTTATACCCCACCACCAGCTCAGCTGTAAACACCTGAAACACAAACCCTAAACCCTAAACCCTAAACCCTAAACCCTAGAGAGTTTATCCTAGGCTGTGGTTTAGGGTTTAGAGCTTAGGGTTTACCTACGTATAGATTGTCAGCTAACACATTCCCTAAACCCTAAACCCTCAGTTATACTCTACAATTAGGGTTTAGGGTTTAGGGTTTACCTCTGTGAGTATGGTCCAGTAAGAAAGGCCTTAAACCCTAAACCCTCAACTAACTAGGGTTTAGGGTTTAGGGTTTAGTGTTTACCTCTGTTAGTATGGTCCAGTAAGAAAGGCCCCTGGCTCTAAACCCTCAACTATATTCTACAACTAGGGTTTAGGGTTTAGGGTTTAGGGTTTAGGGTTTACCTCAGTGAGTATGGTCCAGTAAGAGAGGCCCCTGGCGCTCTTTGCTTTAAACACATTCAGCAGCTGGGGGCCCTTCACCACGAGGGCCCCCGCCAGGATAATTACGTTTAGGGTTAGACCCACAGACTGCATGCATGCATGCATGCAGCAGCAGCAGCAGCAGCAGCAGCAGCAGCAGCAGCAGCAGCAGCAGCAGCAGCAGCAGCAGCAGAAGGGGATGGGCGGTGATAGGGATTGAGGAGGAGATTATAAAGATACAGACAATAGATAAAACATAATGTGTATTTATTTATTCTTTTTCTAGGGTTTAGGGTTTAGGGTTTAGGGTTTGGGGTTTGTAGCTATTGCTGCCCATAACAGCAGCAGCAGCAGCAGCAGCAGCAGCAGCAAACGGCAGAAATACACCGCAGCAGCAACAAACCGCAACAGCAGCAGCAGCAGCAGCAGCAGCAATCCCGCAGCAGCCAACCGCAACAACGGCAGCAGAAGCAGCACAAACCACAGCAGCAGGCATCAAACGCAGCAGCAGCAGCAGCAGCAGTTGCAGCAGCAGCAGCAGCAGCAGCAGCAGCAGCAGCAAGGTGTAGAATACCTCTCTGAGGCATGCAGCAGAGAACTGCCATTCGTTATAAGCAGCAGCACAGCCAGAAGAAGCTAAACCAAACGACTGCAGCAACGAACCCAGCTTCATCCTGTGGGTTTAGGGTTTAGGGTTTAGGGTTTAGGGTTTAGGGTTTGTTGGTGCCCCGGAGAAGGACCTTCGCCACGAAGGGAAGAGGCTGCTGCTGCAGCTGCAGCAGCAGCAGCAGCAACAGCAGAAGCAGCTAATAGCTGCTGTTGCTGCAGTTCTTCTTTTCGTTGCTGCTGCTGTTGCTGCTGCTGTTGCTGCTGCTGCTGCTGCTGCTGCTGTGTATAGGCTTGCTGCTGCTGCAAGGGTTTGTAGATGAGTTGCTGCTGGTGCAGCAGCAGCAAAAATAAAAAATAAAGAAACACAGAAGGGGCCCTGGGTGTATACAGCTGAGCTGCCTATACACCTGAGCTGCGCATACACCCCAGCTGGTGGTTGGTGGTTATAAAGGCCCAAAACGAACGCAAAAAAGACAAATATATAAATAAAAAATAAATTAATTAATTTTATTTAATTAATTTAATTTATTTATAAAATAAAAACACAAAAATACACATATACACCGACACACTACAACCGCATACTCACCAGTAGCTGGGGGGGGCCCCCAAACCACCACCCATACCTTCTCGTTGCTGCAGCAGTTTAATTTGTTTTTTTAATTTATTTTATTTTAATTTATTATTTTATTTATTTATTTATTTATTTATTTTTATTTATTTATTTTTTGTTTATTTATTTCTTCTCTCTATACACCCCGGATCCTTCGCCCCCCCCGCCTACCCACCGCAGCCGAATCCACCAGCCATGCACAGCATAGAAACAAAATAAATAAATAAATAAAAAATAAATAAATAAATATATATATATATATATAAAATATATATATATATATATAATATAAATAAATAGATTTTTATTGATCTATTTATATACTTTACTTTCTTTTTTATTTGTTTGTAGCAGCAACAGCAGATGCAACGTAAGAGAACGGTTTATATTATAATTATAATTATAATAATAAATAAATAAATAAATAAATAAATAAATAAATAAATAAATAAATAAATAACTATTTGTTTTTTATTTTATCTTTAGCCTTTCTCTCATTTTTTTAGTTTATATATATTGTGCAGCAGCAGCAGCATCAGCAGCAACAGCAGCAGCAGGAGTAGCAGCAACAGCAGGAGTAGCAGCAACAGCAGCAGCAGCAGCAACAGCAGCAGCAGCAGCAGCAGCAACAGCAGCAGCAGCAGAACATACTAAAGCTGCAACAAAACAAAAAAATAAAAATATCTATCCCCCTAATTGTATAAACAAGCAAACAAAAAAATAAATGAATAAATAAAAAACTAAATAAATAAAAAACTAAATAAATAAAAAACTAAATAAATAAAAAACTAAATAACTAAATAAATAAATAAATAAATAAAAAATAAATAAATAAATAAATAAATAAATAAATGTATCGTCAGCTTATATAAATAAAACACCACACATTAAAAAATAAATAAATTTGTTTGGTTTTTTGTTATATAAACAAAAATAAATAAAAATAAATATAATATATTTTTTTTTATTTTTGTTTTTATTTTTTTATATAAATAAATAAATAAACAACACCACTTATATATATTATATATATAAATAAAAAAACAAAAATAAACAAATAAAATATAAATAATATATATTTTATTTATCTATCCGCACCAGCACCAACATAAATAAACAAATATAAATAATCTATCTCTTTTGTATAAACACATAAACAAATATAAATATAAATATAAATATAAATATAAATATAAATATAAATATAAATATAAATATAAAT